AAATACAGCTAGCTAAATAACCAACCAACCAACCAACCAACCAACCAACCAACCAACCAACCAACCAACCAACCAACCAACCAACCAACCAACCAACCAACCAACCAACCAACTAACCAACTAACCAACTAACCAACTAACCAACTAACCAACTAACCAACTACCCAACTAAGTCACTAACAAGCCAACTAAGAAAGTAAGCAACTAAGTAACTCACTAAGTAACTAACTAACTGAAAAGCTAACGAACTAACTGACTAACTGACTAGCTAACTAACTAACTGGTTAACTAGCTAGCTAGCTGGCTAACTAAGTGAATAACAAAAACAAACAAACAAACAAACAAACAAACAAACAAACAAACAGGCAAACTTAAAAACAAGCACGCAAACAAGCAAGCAAGCAAGCAAGCAAGCAAGCAAGCAAGCAAGCAAGCAAGCAAGCAAGCAAGCAAGCAAGCAAGCAAGCAAGCAAGCAAACGAGCAAGCAGGAAAGCAAGCACGCACGCAAGCACGCACGCACGCAAGCACGCAAGCACGCAAGCAAGCAAGTGGGTGGGTGGATAGGTGGGTGTGCGTTTGTGGGTTTGTGGGCTTGTGGGCTTTTGTGCTTGTGTGCTTGTGCTTGTGTGCTTGTGTGCTTGTGCGCTTGTGCGCTTGTGCGCTTGTGCGCTTGTGTGTCAGTACTCCTGCTTGAGTGCATTGTTGTGTGTTTGCGTGAGTACGTGTTTGGGCGTTTGGGCGCTTGGGTGTTTGCGTTTTGCCTGCTGGTGTGTTGGCCTTCATGCCCATGCGTGCGTTCTTGCTCGCTTGCCTGCCTGCTTGCCGGATTGCCTTGCTTACCAGGCTTACCTTGCTGACGCTAGCTTGACACGGGTTCAGGCTTTGGTCCGGGCCCCTGCAGTGAGGAGTGAGGAGGAAAACCTCCGCAGGTCGCGACACACCCTAGCGAAAGCCGAATCGCACAGCACGCCCCGCGCACGCACTTCGCACAGGACAAGGCCAACGGCAGAGCCAAGCCAGGCATGCAAAAAGGAAGGGCGCGCACATCACTAGAAAGCTGGGTTGCTTGGTTTGCTTGTTTGCCTTGCTTGGAAAAATAGGTTCTATAATGAGTGGTGCACCTACCCCAACATGGTACCAAAACGGTTTTGACCCACAGCCATATCGATATTTCAAAGACCTTTAGCTGTGGAGTCCCATGCCCACCAGCGATGCTTGTTACTCAAGTGTGGGTCAAAAAGTCAGCCACCAGGAATTGGACCGCAGGTTTTGGTCTTTGGTTCCATTTACCAGGGCTTGCGCCATTTTGGAGTCACCCTATTTTTGACAACCACCGCCAAGTTGTTTTGCGACCTGCTTTTGCTGGCCAGGAAGTGTGCACACCCAGCACCAGCTTTGCTTGGCTTGCTCGCTTGCTTGCTTTCTTGTTTGCTCGTTGCTTGTTTGTTTGGCAAAAGAACAAAACAGAATCGCAACACCCAAACGCCAATGTTCGCCGGGGAGTAGTAGCCGGAGTACCTGAACCAAAGAGTTCCCTCGCCCTGATGAGTCTGGCGCGCTAGCCACCTGCTCTGGAGGCCCCTGGACCTGCGCTGGAGGCTCCTGGCACGGCATGAAAGTGATTCAGACGTTGGACACACGGCCATGGGTCAAAATCCAACTCGCACCCCCGGTGCACATCCCAATCCCCACGAAATAGGCTCTAAGATGGGTGGTGCACCTACCCCAAAATGGGATCCCATTGGTTTTGACCCACACAAGCACACCCAGCATCCAAGCTTGCAGCCCAGCTGATCCGGCAAGCTTCCGTCCCGCTTGGAAGACAGTTTCTTGTCAGAGAGCAAGGTGGACACCTGAAACTGCTTCATGGTGTTCCCATCGTATATCCAATAAGCCCAGCGCCCAGATCGGCTGAAACCCATACCGCTGACAGCCTCGGGCTGCTTCCGCGGCGCCCGCGCAGGTTCCTTGGCCTTCGCCTTGGCATCGAATAACGGGAGCTGAAGAGCTCGCTACTCGAATGACCAAAGGGCCTAACCGGTGGGCTGCTTGGCCAACTCGAAGAGATCCCAGAGCACAGCAGACCTCACCTCCTGAAAGGAAATGGAACAACCGATTCCAGGTGAGGGCGTGACCTTTTCTGTCGCACCAATCTGCCCTGCACAGGCACGATGGGCTTCACCCCTTGCCTTATCCTGCTTAAATGACCATGGGTGAGTGACAAAGCACCACTCAAGATGCAGGTTCCTTCAAAAAATTGCTTCACAGGCCCCGAGGCTGCAAACCAACACTTTAGGGAGGCCGCTATCTGACCGGACTGGTGTTTCAACCACCTCCTTTTGGCTTCCCTTCAAACGATGCCGGTGGTCTGCTGTTCAAAACACCTCCAATGCGAACAAGGCGCCGCCGTCTTCGGCACGGGCGAGGCTGTGCGCTGCTTGCTCGACATGGGAACGAAGAGGTCTACAAGGTGGGCTTCAATGAAGCGAACAAACCGCAGTTGGGTGGGAGTTCTGTAAAAAACATCCTGATGGTCCGTGGGCCGTGGATTTTGTGTTGCCTGTTTTGTTTGGATGGACCGACCCCCCGTCTCTTGTTGAGCCGTGCTGGGCGAGAGGACCCCAAGCCTCTTGCTTCCACTGAAAGGGAAGGTGCTCACACTTCTTTGCCACTCTGGTCCAGCGACCTCTCGACCACTTCCTCTTTTCGTCCAGAGTCCCTTCATCTTGGTCCAACACTGAGAAAAGACCGGCAGCACCTGACTCCCCAGGATAGGTTGTCACCCTCTTAGTGCAAAGGATCCTCAGAACCTCTTGGCAAGGGATGCGGGTTCAAAGCTTGGATGCCGATCCCTGACTCCACAAGAGTGACGAAGAAGAAACATGCCTTGCCCGTCTTCGGGCACATGGCAGAGCACCAGGAACTCTCTAAAAAGTCAAAAATCTGCAAGGAGCACTGAAAAACCCCCAATATGGCCAACATCCCAATCCCCACTAAAATCGACTAAAATGGGTGGTGCACATACCCCAAAATGGGATCCCATTGGTTTTGACCCACAGCCAAATGAATGACATGCAGTAATGAACAATGCAGCGTATCAACCGCTCAATGCTTGCAAATGAATTCTCGTCTTCCAGCCAGTTTGCTTTGAGTTCAAGGCCTTCCCGGTTCGACTCGCTATCTTTCTCCGCTCCACGCTGCGAAGCCGGAGCGCCGCCGACTTGCGCTAGCGCCAGCGCTGGCGCTTGCGGCACCGGCGCTGCTGGCAGCGCCGCCGGCACTGGCAAGACTCTTTAGGTTGGACATGTTTAACTCTTCGGTAGATACGGCTTGTATGATGTTTGGTGTGTTACTATTATCATTACTATTATTAGCATTATTACTATTATTAATAATATTTGGGGGGGCACGCCTTTTGGGGGGCGTTAGGGAAAACAATGGAAAGACAAACTCGAAGGGATATGAAATTTAAACGAGAGTCGTCTCCTATACATCATTTACATGGAGTTGTATGTCCACTAACTTCTCCCTTTGGCATGGCAAGACTAGTGAAGTCCCACCTGTTTGCCTTTTGTAGGACACAGGACGCGAGACAACGAGCCTGGCATTGAAGTGACTGGCTTAAGAGGACCAATGGCTCAGAGCCGAGGTTTGGACAAACCAAAGAGCTTCCAAGCCGCAACGTGTAGTTCATGTGCTCTGTCTGACAAAGAAAAACATATCCCAGTATCTATTTTGTCGCTTCACCTTCGGTGACCAGTGGTTCAAATGTAACCTGCTGAGCTCATCAGCCAGAACAAGTTTCAAGCTTTCGAGCCTTGACTGACATGGCCATGGGTCAACATCCCGTACCCCCAGTCAACATCCCAGTCCCCACTAAAATAGACTAGAATGGGTGGTGCACCTACCCCAAAATGGGATCCCATTGACCCGCAGCCACATACTAAAGAAAAACAATCCAAAGAAGCTTTCAAAGTTTGCCGACTGAACGAGCTCGGCCCAAGAAACGCGCCTCGCATCTGCTTTGCCGAAGCCTGACGGAGCTCCCTCCCGCAGTGTGACACATCTGCATCCTCTTCTGCCTTGACCAAAACGATATGTTTAAAGGTGGATTTGCGGGTCCATATATTTGGCTGTGGCTCCAAAAACCGGTACCAAAATGGAACCCTGGTAACTGGAAATATGGACCTGCGTAACCCCTGGCTAGTTTGGAGCCACACCCATATATTTACGTGAGACTTAAAGTATGTCATTGGAAAGTCCCAGTGGCCGTGAGAGGGTCACCCTGCTGCAACTAAACGAGTAAAACATCGGCATCAGGTAAACCGCTGGCTCGAGCTTGGGACCACTGGAAAACCAATTGAATAGACTTCAGCTGTGCTGTTTGGATCCATGGCACTTTGGTCCAAGAATTCCGGGCGCTGGGTCACCCCATGCTCCAAACTGTATGGCAGGTATTTAGTATCGTTCGGTCTATGACAAAGCGGCTACACAGCTTGCGCTTGCAATTTAATATTTGCGCAGCCCACCATCCTCAACCAGATCTGCAACTTCAAAAACCCGCCTCTTTTTCAACCCCGAAAGGCAAAGACAGGCACAGCACCGCTGCACTCCCAAACCAGAGGTGCGGATAATAGCCATATGGGTCAAAACCCCGTACCCCCAGTGAAAATTCCAAGCCCCACTAAAATAGGTTCTAAAATGGGTGATGCACCTACCCCAAAATGGGATCCCGATTGGTTTTGAACCATGGCCACATATGAACATCCCCGAAATCAAAGGCAAGCACTGATGGATGGTGCAATCCCCTCTGTACCTGGGCCTCCTGATTGGAAAACGACGCCAACCATCTGGGCACATGAGTGGGGTTGCGAGATTTGGCTGAATTCTGAGGTCGACGTGAGCCAGAGTCAAAGTGACGATGTGAAATTGGCGAAGGGCCAAGCTCTGGCGTTACATGACGGTGACTATTGATCGTTGCTCAGAGCCATGGGCAACCAAACTTGGACAAAGTCGGGCAACAAACGAAGAAATCTACTTTGGGAAGGAAGAAAGAAAAGAAGGAAGAAAGGAAGGAAAAAAGAAGGGATGCAGGAAGGAAGAAGGGAGGGAGAAAGGGAAGGTAACCCGACAGATTGCGGCATAACCCTCATGCTTGCCACTTTTCCGCCGCCCTGGAGAGGGGACCTGACGGCACGCCTGGCTGGCGGCCCATGGAGTAGTTCACACCTCGGTGAATGATGTGCCTGGTTTTCATCTCAGTGTCAAAGAGTCTTCATGAACCATTGAAAAGACAACATAGGCACAGGGGCAAATAAGCCCTTATTAAGCCCTGGCCCTTTTTGGGGCTTACTTGGGCTCCCTCCCCCGCCCTCCCTCCTTTCGAGGCTCCATGATAGGCAGATTAGATACACGGCTTGCCCGCAAGACGGAATCTTCATCATGGGTGAAGTTGCGAATCCCTTCGTGAGGTCGTTAAGATGTGCGCAAACGCATGCATGAGTGCAGCAGGTGTACATATGTACATGGACATGTAAAAACACATGCACACAATGTATTAATGCAAACTATGTAAACATTGCGTGCGTGGTGCAATGCGATCTCCCTCCGAGATGCATGAGATCAACATCAAGCATGCGAGCTCGTGGCCCATGAAACATCACAACAGTCCAAAGGCGCGACAGGCATTGCATAACTTATTCTTGCAGCAGGTCAGACCTGTCCATAATTGTGGAACATCACCTGTTTTGTGATGCCAAAGTCGACCAGCCCCTCGACTACGTGATTATGTTCAAGAGGGGTCGCTTGATATCAAGGACAATGGCTCTAACAACCGTGGCTGCTCTGTTGCTCATGCTTTGAATTGTTGGCGCATAGCTCTGCGTATTCCTTGTTCCTTGCGGGTACCAAGAAGCCCTCTGTTGCCATGGATGTGTGTGTGTGTGTGCGTGTGTGTTCTTGTCGAAAAATCGGCTTGTTTTCCCTTTCTCGTCTACGCTTACTCCCGCGCCACCGCTGACTAAGGCTCACCTCCCTTCCATGGGGAGCTTTCCCGTGGGGGTGTTTTTGGTATGGCAAGTACACCAGCCGCAACCCAAGCCCCTGAGAATTCACTTGCGACTTAGTCGTTCCCAGAAAGAAATCCAGCGAGCGGACTCGCGTCGCAACTCCAAGGCACTGCTGGAGTAGTGCCGTCGCCCTGGGCGGGGGGGGGGGGGGGGGCAAGACGCTCTGATCCTTGCCGAGTGACTCGGTGGCCAGGGACACAGCTTTGTTGGTTGCTACGTGGCAGGGAGTCTCGCAAAGCAAACGGGCGCCACTCAAGTCGATTCAAGGACTGACAACGCATGTGTATGTTGTTTGCTTCATTTCAGCAAACAGAATGCAGAAAGCACTAGAAGTAATTTGGGAGCATCCGTTGGCTTTGAGGTGCACTCCTTCCAATACTTTTCTTGGGCCTTCTGCTAGTGAGCTGCTCTCTTCTGCAACCTACCCCAGCAAGGTCACGCCTATTTCACTCGTGGTCACGAGGCCCATCGCTCACATCTCCTTGAGAGCAAACCCCACCCCCAACCGAAACCTGCCGTTTTTGTTCCCCTCACAAGGTAGCGCACATTGCTTCGCGTCATTTGCCACAGCTCTTCCCAGGTGGGGGTTGGATGTGGCTGGTGCACCTGCTTCTTGGAATTCCACCCCCTCGCCGCCCAACATCACTCCCTCGGTGCAGCGCCTTTCGGGTCGGGCTCAGCAGGCCCAGGCGCAGGCGGCCTGAAGAGGGGGGAGAGTGGATGCCAAAGAAATTGATTGATGGCAAAAACGTCGAACCAATACACCGGATCGGCTTATCAAACAATTCTTGGAGCCGGCCCGGCCCAGCCCCGAATCGCAAAGATCTCATGGCGATCATCAGAGCCGCAATGAAACAATCAACCTGCGAGCTCCCACGTGGCGCAAAGGACATGGGTGCAGAGTAGAAACTGTCCGTAATGTGCAGGCTGATCGCTTCTGGTCGAACTCTAGTGGCCTATCTCCATATCCCCAACCTAAGATTCGCCACAGAGCCAAAAAACACCCTAAAATTCGCAACAGAAAACATAAAATAAAAAGCACACATTTTAAAAAAAGAGACCATGTTCACCGGAGCCTTGCATTTCACGCCGCTGATGTCCGTGCACTATAGAACCGCCTACCTTTTCCGCGAGGAAGAAAGCGACCGCCTCGGCCTGCTCTTCTCGCCCAGGGAGCCGCAGTCGTAGACACGGCGCATGATTTCACCTGGGGCGGAAAAAAATGGATGCACACCAAGCACAGAGGAGATGGTAAGACACAAGCACCTGGGAGGCTGGCGAAATATGTAATCCAATGGTCAAATTATGTATTCCAGCGGTCAAAATATGTATTCCAGTGGTCAAAATATGTACTCCAGTGGTCAAAATATGTATTCCAGTGGTCAACTATTGGTCGTAGCATTCCGACAGCCACCTTTTTCTTGTGTTTTT